ATATATATAAATTAAATAATATTTAATAATATCTAAATCTTATTTAATATCATTTCAGTCCTGTCTATTAATATATATCTATACAAATAAATAAAATTGAAGTGTCTGTTTGTAATGTCAAAATAACAGTTTTTTACTAAACACATATGAAAGTACATAGGGTACTTATAACAAAAACACAATTTTTAAAATTTTTGTCTGTCTTTCTGTCTGTCTGTCTTTTTGTTCCGGCTAATCTCCGAATCGGCTGAACCAATTTTGACGAGACTTCAGTGGTAGATACCGGATATTATAAGGAGGAACTTAGGCTACTTTTAATTTAGAAAAAGAATTAGGGTTCCGTGCAAAAACATTAAATTAATATATAGGAAATGATATTTTTAATTTATAGGAGTCACGACAACTAAACGCGCACGGCAGCGGCCCCGTCGATCGAGAAATGAAATCCGTTCCGTATATATATATTGTTTTCTATACATTAATACTTCAAAAGATATTTTTATTGATGATAAGGTCAGACACTTAAGAAATGGGTCAGATATTATGATAATTTTATTCATTATGGTAAATTTTATTTATTTAATAAATGTATTATTTATTTTTATCTTTTACCCCACCATCTTAGTTCACCATCATGAAGGTATTATAATCACATTGAACTAGGTCTTTGTAAACCCTTTCAAATGAGTTCAAACACGATCATTCTACCTAGTGCCGCCACTGAGATCCTATATCCACCTTCGGATTGCACCATCAGAAAGGTGAAGTCATAACAGTCACCTAGGTCTTTATGAGCCCTTTCAAATGAGTTCAAACACGATCGTTCAATCTAGTGCCGCCACTGAGATCCTATACCCACCTTCGGATTGCACCATCAGAAAGGTGAGGTCATAACAGTCACCTAGGTCTTTATGAGCCCTTTCAAATGAGTTCAAACACGATCGTTCAATCTAGTGCCGCCACTGAGATCCTATATCCACCTTCGGATTGCACCATCAGAAAGGTGAGGTCATAAAAGTCACCTAGGTCTTTATGAGCCCTTTCAAATGAGTTCAAACACGATCGTTCAATCTAGTGCCGCCACTGAGATCCTATATCCACCTTCGGATTGCACCATCAGAAAGGTGAGGTCATAACAGTCACCTAGGTCTTTATGAGCCCTTTCAAATGAGTTCAAACACGATCGTTCTATCTAGTGCCGTCACTGAGATCCTATACCCACCTTCAGATTGCACCATCAGAAAGGTGAGATCATAACGGTCACCTAAGTCTTTATGAGCCCTTTCACATGAGTTCAAACACGACCGTTCTATCTAGTACCGCCACTGAGATCCTATATCCACCTTCGGATTGCACCATCAGAAAGGTGAGGTCATAACAGTCACCTAGGTCTTTATGACCCCTTTCAAATGAGTTCAAACACGATCCTTCTATCTAGTGTCATCACTAAGATCCTATACTCACCTTCGGATTGCACCAACATAAAGGTGATATCATAACAGTCATCTAGGTCTCCATTTACCTATTTGAAAATGAGTTCAAACACGATGGTTCTACGTTGTAGTATCACTGAGACAACCATAAGGAAGGTGACATCATTACAATCACCTTGGTCTCCATCCTCTGTCAAACCAACTTCTCTAAATATATAAAATAATATAAAATCTAAACAGCATACAAATAATGTTATAAAAAAATATATTAAATATAAATAAAAGCTACTAAGAAAGTATGTACTTACCAACAATGGAAACGAACTGAAGCCAGCGGATTACGGTGCGCCCGGAAAAATACGTAGGTTGCCGTCAGTTAAAAATTTTAACTTAAGATTTCACATTCACGGTCAGTTTTTGGATGTACTAGTCAGTCAGTTAAACTGTTCAGTTTAACTGACCGTGAGTGGCCACCATAAAAGTGGGTAAGACCTAAGCCAAAAACGTTAACGCGTAGAATAGCTCATAGTAGCTTTTAAAATTAAACCCAAGATGATCAGTGAAGTCACAAAGCTCTTACAGAAAACTAACGCTGCAAGTTACTACAGCATTATGCCAAGTTAAAGAACCATTTAGTGACATATTTTCTATTTTAATTTTTATTTACATAATGTGTTCACCAGTTTAATATTATTTCTTTGTTTCTAGTATACGGCGAAGTGCGTTTGTAGCCGAATCTAAGCTATCGGTTTCCGTATTCTACACAATTTATAAAATCCGATTATATTCAGAGGTTGTTGCCGAGGTCTATATCAATCAGAAGAACATCAGTGATAAAGAAAATATTTTTGAATTGGAGGTCAATAGTTACATATTTAGTTTTTATAGTTTATAATGTAGGTATGGGTAGCTAATGTTACAATAAGAATCGAACAATATGTACCTTCTCTTTACCAATCGATGTCTTCTTTAAGTTTTTCTTTTTGTTTTTCCTTGTCGATGTAATGCTTTGATGATGAAATGTGGCGTCAAAAATAAAGTGCAATGATGATGCGTCTATACATTTCATATTACTCCTCAGGCTTAACAACGCTCTCATTTAAATTTTTAAGCGTAGGTGGTATGTGGGGGTGGTGATGAGCCGCAAAAATCCACTTAACATCAGATTGACTAACTGTCAATAACTTGTCAACTTCAGTTTAAATATCAACACTGGAAACCCAAATCTTTAGTAGTTAGGTGCACTGAGAGTTGCATTTATGAATATATATTTATTTGTTCAAAGATTGAAAATAAAATTATAAATATCCCGGCACAGAAACAGAAACAGAAACTTTTTTATTCAATATAGATTATAAATAATACTTATTGAAAGTCACTCTTTTGTTTGATTACCACTGGTTCGGAAAAAACCTCTGTCCTGGGAAGAACCAGCAAGAAACCCAGCGGGACTTTTTTTTAAATAACAGCTTACAATCATGATGTTACACAAATTAACAACACAACAAATTAGAAATAGCTTGGTAGCGATCACCTCATTTCCAGGGGTTATTATCATCCATAAATTCCTTAATATTATAATAACTCTTTTTATACAAACTTAGTTTAATAAAGTTTTTGAACTTTGAACAGGTCAAACTTTGTATATTTTCTGGAATTTTGTTGTAAAAGCGTATACATCGCCCCAAGAATGAATTACTGACTCGATGGAGTCGAGTAACTGGTACTACTAGCTTGTGTCTGTTCCTAGTATTTACAGAATGAATATCACTTATTTTTGTAAATCTACTTTTATTTTTGTGTATGTACATTACATTTTCATAAATGTTATATTTCACATTAAGTAAAATAGCGCTATTGGTAACTTTTCTTAGGAGTTCGATAAGGAAGAAGAAAAAAGTGCAGAAAAGTAGTAATATTAATAGATTTTTCACCACTATAGAATAACGAGGAGATGTTCTTCCTATTTAGTAATCATCGGCTTTGGCTTTTCAGCTTATCCTTGTTAACCTGGTAAGGCAGGACTTTTGTATACCCTGTATCATCTCGGTCTCGATTTTTCTCTTTACTTCTCCCTATCCTTATTTAATCGTTGAACATAGAGTTTTAGTAAAATATATTAATATCACAACAAGGCGCCTGATAACAATAGTACTGCACAAAACTTAAAGAGCAACTTGCTAAATGCACAACCAAAAATTTAACAATAGTTTTCTGTTCGGTATTCTTGATATTTATGAACTAAGGTGTGGAAAGGCATCTGCATTTTAATTTTTAACTGATGAAAATGTATGTATTTGTCATTATAATCGTCACTAAAGCCCATCGTAAGTGCACATAGACCTTCTCAAAGGAATGCCACAAAGCTTGGTCCTGAGCCACCTGCTTCCATCAAGTTCCTCTATTTTTTTACCATGTTGTCACTCCATCTAGTAGTGAGCCGCTCTAAACTTCGCTTGCCGGCACGACGCTGCCGCTCTAGAACTTTTCGTGCTCATCGGCTGCCGGTGTTTTTTGAACTTTAAGGTCAGTCCATTGCCACGTTAGTTTTCTGATCTGTAGCGGTATATTGGTTAGTCAGGTTGTACTGTGGATATCCTATTCGGTATATATTTGTCTATGGGCATTCACTGTCTATCATTTGGTGGATTGTGTACTCGTTTGTTTATCTTTATTTACATAAAAACCGCCAAACCTAACTAAAGTTGTGCGTTGATCTCTTTCCTACTTTATTATCCTCTCAGAAATGAGAGGATGCCAGCATACAAAGGGAGTTGGAGCTAATAAAACTGAAATTCGCTAGTATTTTGTGTACAGTTATATTTTTTATTACTTTTTAACCTAAATCTTAACAAATCTTAATTCTAAAATTTCCTCGACTATAATAGCATCATTTGGGTTTTAAAAACTTAACTTATTTATAAAATATTTATCAGATGTTCTCTTTATATTATTCTAATAAGAACTTATATATATTTCTATGGTGACAAACATTAAATAATAAAAATGCTTTTATACAAAATTATAAATAAAGCTAGGTAATACTTCGTTGCAAACTTCACGAGTCGTGTGATAATTACTGGAAGAGAAACGTTTTGTGCAGAATTTTTGGTTGGATAAATAAAATAAAAAAATGTTTGTTTCTTAGAATAGTTAAAATTTAAATTATTTAGTATGTCGTAAATAGCACACCCTTAAAATTTTAATCAAAATAATAAAACATTTAATATTTTATCCTATTATCATCCTCATTATCAGGTACCTGACATTGACGTGGTAGTCATAATTTTCACAAACCTTAACATTACAATATTAAATATGATTTATTAAATAATATTTATTTGCACCTTTTTATTGTATTTTAACCTGTACTTAATATTTTTTTTTCAAACCTCATTCATCTTTTCCCGTACTCTTTATTAATAAAACTTTGTTTTTTTTTTGTGAAATTTTAAATGTAATATTATTTAATAAAATTTTAGTAATATTTCAATCATCACATTATTTGTTATGGGTGGGTTCGTAGTTAAGGCTTGAATGCCTTTATCAGAATATAAAGTATTGTTGTTAATAGTTAGGTAACGGGACATAAAGTAGTTCATCATATGGTACTGCATCAAAAAATTTACGCGCTGTGTCTATAGTTACATTCATAGCATAGTCTACTACTGGCTTCCCAAATTCTTCTGTCACCGCTCTCCAATTTTCATTCAAGAATCGCAACACTGTGTTACCTGAAAAATTAATCACGTAAGCTTAATACTGTTAGAAAACCGTTGGAAATTTCATCATATAATTTCATCGTCTTTCTAAATAGAAAAAAGTTAGAAACAACATTGCATCGTGCTGATTTCTTCTATATAGCAATTATTCTAAGCAAAGGATAGTTTGATTCTTTTATCATAATCATCATTATTACAGTCCTTCACAAGTCCACTCCTGAACATAGGTCTCCTCCAAGGAATGCCGCAAAGCACGGTCCTGAGGCACCTGCATCCATCGACTTCCTGCATGTCTTACCAGGTCGTCACTCCAGGTAATGGCGGCCCAATCCACACTTTGCCTCCCGGTACGAGGCTGTTACTATAGAAACTTTCTTCCCCATCGGTTGCCGGTTCTTCGTGCTATATATCCAGCCCATTGCCACTTCAGTTTACTAATCCGTTGGGCTATGTCGGTTACTCTGGTTATACTGCTGATATCTTCGTTTTTAAGTCTATCACGCAGAGAAACCCCGAGCATAGTCCTCTCCATAGCTCGCTGAGCGAACTTTAGCTTCCCCATACGGCCAGCAGTGAAAGATCATTTTTCAGTTCCATAAGTCATCACTGGCATCACGCACTGGTTGTACAATCTTATTTTGAAGTTTTGAGGTATGTCTGAGGAGAGGATATGTCGTAATCTCCCGAACGCTGCCCAGCCGAATTGAATCCGTTGATTGATGGAAGTAGGACTTACCTAGTCGGATTATTTGTCCCAGGTAAACACTACTCGTCTAACGAGTAAATATGAATACCGTTTATTAATTTAATTAGGTAGAATAAGGACTTTTTTAATATACTACAAATTGGTAGATTTCCAGAACATTAGAAAAATAAACATTTTAATTGATTCGAAGACACATTTACCATAAGAAATTGAAAATTATGAAACTTTTACTTTAAATACAATAAAATATATAACGGACATTCGTGATTATTACATTATTCATTTATAAATGATTATAACGGATGCGCATTGGGGTGCATATGGTGGTAACATCCAAATAGTATATAATCACTACGTTTTAGTAAAGAATATATATTATTTGTAGATAGTTTTAGTAATAACTTTTCTCCAATAGCCAATTTTGCCTTTACGAAATGGTAAGTATAACATAGCGAAAAATTCTCTGACAACCGAAAAATTAAGGTAGGTATATGATTATATCTTTATTTCCCATTCCAAACCCCGCTGTTGGTGAGAGGAAGCGTCGCCAGTCAATGGGGTGCGCTCACTGGTAGGCATAGACTTAAATATGAGTCAATATTTTAAGCTATGCCTACTAGTGAGCGCATCCCTGAAAAGGTCGACTCCTTCCACTAATGGATGAAAAAAGGCTGTGAAATAACAAATAAGAAGATACTCACTTATTTCAGGATTCCCTTTAAAGAGATTGGAAATGGTATAATGAATCCTTTCGCCATAATCAAAAGCGTATCTATAGCTCTTAATGCCGAAGTGATCCCGACCCTCAGCGTCTTTAAAGTACTTTGTCTTTATGTTCATTTTTATGATGGAGTTTACTGCAATAGGAAAGATAAACCATTTCAAAAATGGCGGAAAACACATTATATAAACACATTAACAATTGTATTATTTTTTAAATAATACACCGTATGAATATATTTTCTTTACCATTTTCCATCTACCATCATAATTTGGAAACTATTCGAAAGAAATAATTTTCAGAAACCCACATGTTACTCGAAACAACTAATTGGATAGAATAAGCGATTGTTACTCATTGGTCTAAATGTAGTGTAGTGGAGCCGCAAGAGAATCCATTATCCCATATCATCCCGTGCTTGTTGTAAGGAGCGACAGAGGGAAAATGAATAAGTAGATCAGGAGCTGCATCTTCCTAATAAACTCAAAACATTAGAAACCTACGATAGCCAACCCATACGTCAAGCATGTAAATTATAGCAAATATGCCATATATAGGGATATAAGGCAAAAGTCAAAAGTTTTTGATTGGCTGTAGTGATAATGAATATGTAAAACAGGAGAAATGTATAGTAGGTTAGTAATAATTGTTGGTCTAGTAATTTGTCGTAGGACAACTGTTGATCATGTGGTGCCGGGTCCGAATCCCGGGTCGGACCAAAAAAAATCGGTTATTGAGTTTTTCCGTCAAGAAATTCTCAGTAGCTGCCCGGAGTGAGGAAGTTGGTAGTGTCTCACTCGCGTCTGGTTTCTGATGATATTAGTGCTGTTAGCCTTTTGGCTCTTACAGCTTCATCGGACTGTCTCGGAAAGCACGTAAAGACGTTGGTCCTGTGCCTGATCTCTCTCCGGTCGTGTCGGTTTTCCGTCCCATCGGACTATGCAAGTAAAGAGAATAGAGAGTGTACCTATACTTGAGCATATACTTGGGCATTATAATCCTGTCTTGCGCCGATGGCTAGTCTCTGTTAAAGCTGGCCGCCGAGCCGTGACCGAAATTCAGTCTGGAGGACAGTAATATTATTAAATAAAGTTTAAGTAACAAACTGAAACGAAAAAACATTTGAAGATTAATACAGTATATGTTTACCTATTTTTATTTTGGCATCCCCTTCGCCATTTATTTGAAACAGAAGTAGTCTTCCGACAGCTGTATATTTTCCTTTTATCGTGATGTTGCACCGGACTTCCAAAACGAATACATTTTTTTCAAGGTAGGCTCTGCAATGATGACAAGTTGAATTGTTAATGTAAACATTTGACTTAAAAATTGTGTTTACTTAGGTCGACAAATAAAAATACGATTTGTTTCATTGTATTTAAATTCAGTCTTTTCTCGATAAATGTGCACAGGTTCGGACATGTTTTCAATAAGTTAATTCTACCACATTCATTTTAGCAAAATAATATACTTTGCATATAAAAAGAATAATAAAGAAATAAAAATATAGAAACAAAGAAAGAATATGAAACTATAACTAAATTTGTAGTTTGGAAAATCCAAAAGTGCACGCATCAAGAGCGTTTTATTTAATTTTGATGAAAAAAATAACTTGTACCTATTCCTGACTTTTAAAATATATAATTTAGCTCTCTAATTATTTTACCAGACATTGTGGCAACCTGTAGGTATACATGGAATAATAATAATAATAATAAATATAAAATCAATATAGGCTGTATGGTACATTTGTCCTTTGTCTATCAAATGCTAAAAATATAGGACAGCGCCTTTAAATTTTTAATAGCAACAAAACTTATAAAAGTTTAAAATAATAATAGGAAACCTGTTGGCGTAATTCTGATGCTAATAAAAAAAACCCGGTCTCGCTACGTCACTTTTTTCGGGAGCTATCGTGACCACATACAAAATCAACATCCGGACATCCACGTAAAAAATTTTTCAACCGTTTTTTTTTTCAAAGTAGCAATATAAAATGATTTTTTAGAAAATATAAAATGGATTGATTAGAATGTTTTCATGACATACGACTACTCATACTATAATATAAGCATAGAATAAGCTATGCAATATGGTTATGATAGAGGCATTTTAAGAACACAAAATTGCTTGACCTTGACGTGTTGAGAGTAGAACACACATAAAACGCTTCGCTTTAACGGGATGTGGCACAATAGCACAATTGTGCCACATCCCGTTGGCCAGCGTTTAGTTTTAAGTATTTTTATAATTATTTTAAGGCAAAACGACAACGCATTTTAACACGAGTTGTTTCAAGTGTCAACCTTGTCGTGTTTTATATCTCAACAACGATCTTTTATTATGCCATCATATTACAACCTACAGACGTTAAGAGGTAAAAGGTAATGCCAGGCTGCTCAAATACCAAGGACATATATAATATTACAATCACTGAAAATTTTAATATTCCGTAGAATTATTATTGTGGGGTATCTTTATAGTTTTCTCAACTGGTTGGGCTGCATAAATATAAAATGTAAATGAAAATGATAAATATACACAAATATCAATAAAATAAAATGAATATATAAAAGTACATAAATAAATAAAATCCCAACCAGATGGAAGCTCAGATGACCCGAGAGGCTGACTGGAATTAGTCCGTTCGCAGAGACGACTACAGGTATAATTTCAGTCAGCAGACTACCCCACAGGTCGGTCATCTCGTGAGCCAGGTCCAGATACTTTGTCTTTTTATCTGCTTCGGCTTTCAATAGGTTCTCGTTATACGGAATGATAATGTCGACCAAAAATATCCTTGACTGTGCCCGGACCATCAGCACAATATCAGGCTTATTAGCAAGAATAGTCCTGTCTGTGATGATGGCCCGGTCCCAGTAGAGCCTGGCGTGGTCATTTTCAAGCACGGTTTCCGGTAAATACTTAGAATAAGGCAGTTGGCGATCCACGAGACCGTATATCAGGTGAGTTCCTGATGTAGAATCCTGGCTACTAGGTTGTGTCTGTGCAAATACTCAGAGTTAGAAAGTGCTAAACAACCGGAGATGACATGTCTAAGTGACCGGGATGGCGATAAGCTCGACAGATTTAGGATGTAGAATAGTTGTTGGTCTAAATAACCTGATCCTGTATCGCACAGACAAAACCCTCGGTTTCCCCAAAGAGGTCACCAAAACGTAACCAGTGGAGGGAGGCGACTGTATCTACGAAAGGCTCATGTAGAACCTTGTAGAACCTCCCGTGGAGCTCCTTCTTCTTCCATACGGTCTCCTGGTCGGAAATGCTCTGTACTGCCGGGTCCTGCCATTGCTCGTCGGCTAATGATAGAGGGGTAAAACCTTTATCACAAGAAATGACGTCCCTATAGAACCGATCATCCGCTCTCGCCAGAAAGTAATTACGGAGGCTGCACACTTCGCGATTATGCATGGTAAGCGCGCTTAAAAAGTCACGCCTACCATGTTTCCGTGGTAAGTACAGCCTCATAATCGACGATCTCGGGTGATGCATTCTATGGGACGTCATAGTATTGTGAACTTTTCTATCCAGAGCGTTAAGTTCACTTTGAGTCCACCTAAGTATGCCAAAGGTATATATAAGAACAGGAATGACCCAACCGTTATATGCGTGTATCTTATTCACAACGGATAAAAGGCTGTTAAGCACTTTGGTCAAGCGTACATAAAACATCGCAAACTGACTGTTTCATACCAGCCTCATCTATACCGATGTTCTGTGACATACCCAGGCATCGGTATGTTTCAGCCTCAGAAAGGGTCCTTATGTTGATGGGCATAGATAAGTCTATGCCCCCAGAGTTAGCAACCCTTCCCCTTTCAACAGGACCCCACACTTATCCGTCCCTAGGTTCATTGAAATAGAATTACCAAAATCACAAGCGATTTTAGTAATTCAATTTCAATTTCACAAGCAATTCCATAAGATAGAAGCGACTGGAGGCGAATAATTTGAGATCGTCCATATAGAAAAGGTGGGTCAATTTTTTCCATCTATTTCAAAGCTGAAATCCCCTCCCGGAGTCCTCCAATAAGGTACCTAGAGGGTTCAGGGAGAGGCAAAACCAGACTGGACTCAAACAATCGCCCTGGAAGATACCGTTTCTTATCCTTGTGCAGCTTTGCGCATCCGTCATCCGCTCGCCTAGATGACAACGGATTGTACTCCACTGCCCCATACACTGCCCGAGGAAGTTTCTAACTGTACAGTCAACCTTGTATATCTCGAGGACCCTCTTTAGTCATGTATGGGGCACCGAGTTCAATGCCTTTCTATAGTCTATCCAGGCGGCGGAGAAGTTCCGACAATTGAGTTTAACCACTTTGGCAATGACCGCGTCAATGAGGAGTGGTTTCTTGGTTCCACGACCACCGCCACGGCATCCATTTTGAGCACGCGACATCACCTGATTTAAATCCAGGTGACGAATGATTCGTGTACTCAAAATGGATGTCAGTGTCTTATATATGGTGGGTAGACACGTAATGGGGTGGTATTTGCTCGGGTCTGTGGAATCCCGGTCTTTAGGAACCAAATGAGTGATCCCAGTAGTGAAGAGGCTTAAAAGCGACTTTTGTTCGAGAGCCGCTTGAAACTGTTGGGCGAGCACAGTGTGACACACCACGAGCCCCTTCAGCCAGTAGTGATGCAGTCCGTCGAGTCCCGGACTTTTTCAGACCGCCTCAGCTATGTCATCCGGCGTTATGATGACGGGGTCCATGGGCGTAACATTCGCACACTGAACACAACTTCCGTCCAAGAGACCTCGCTGTTGTTTACGGGCTCTGACCACAGGTCGCGCCAGAATGCGACAGTGTCGGCCTGATTCGGTGCTGGGCCCGTTTCACGTAATATTGGCCGCTCCAATGATTCATAGAGCCTCTTTTGATCACTCTGGAAGTAACGATTCTGGTTGAACCGTATCAACCTCTCGTTATATCGCCAAATCCGCTTCCCCCAAGCAGCGATTCTCTGCTTCAGGTCGTCTATGCGCTCCGTCAGTTTTGCGTTACATCCGGCTGGGACAAACGGATATTTGTCCCAGCAAACACCATCCTGACGGTGCGCTCAATTTTCGGCCTATTATTGCCCGACCTGAAGCTTATCAGTCTGCCGATGAGGGCCCTTAACTTTACGATGCGATCTTCAATCCTTCTTCTCCAGGTTCTTCTGATTCCGCTTGCTTAAGGGTATGCGGGGAAGTCGCGGCCGATTTTCGAGAGGCGTACTGCGCGTTTCCAAAATAGCCTCTTCCAATGTATTCCTCAATTGTTCTAGTACTAGTTCCTGGGCGACTGTTCCATCATAGTCTGAACCAACCATAACTGAAAGATTCACAGCGGCATCCACGTGTGCTGGTTGCTCTGCAGCTTGTGGCACTACATCTTCAGCCGTAGTATATCCGATGAGGGTGCAGCCTCACGTCGTAGCCGTTCGAGTTCGGTGCCATCAAATATGTTTGAGCGCAAGATATAAAGAACTCGGTCTGCCAGGTTTTACTCCGTGACGGTTATAAATGGCTCCAGCTCAGCAAAAAGTCGATGCATCCTAGCCCGATATGCAATCCCTCCAATTTCTGACCCTTTCACCCTAAACTACGCCTGCAATGCGTTGCTGTTCATCTGCATTGACCAACGCATGCGGCGCACTCCTCCAGTGGCGCGTGCTGATTGCTGGGCCCGCGAAGACCCTGCCAACACTAAGCCAGCTGGTTGGGATAATGGATGCGAGGGGCTGCTGGGTGGTCATGCAGCACCTCGTGTTCGGCTGGCGGTTCTCATGCTGTCGCGTCCAGCGCCAGCTCCAGACGCGCCCTGGCGAACCCCAGGCAGCGGCCCTTTGCGCAATCTTCTTTGTTACGTCATCCATTTACTGGGCGTCAGTTAACGGGAGGCGCCCAAACCCGGAACTATTTCATGGTGAGGCCATGTGCACAAGCGGGCCTTTGTACTTTTAATTTTGCCGAGGCACGGCGCTAACACCTCTTGGCAAGGTGCTGACTGACTGCGCTGATGTAGCAGTTTTGTCACATAGCCGTTACGTCAGCGGGCGATGGGGTCGTCACTTCCCTACGCCATTGGATACGTAAAGCTATTGTTATAATTATTATTTCTCGCATCATAAATAAACTCCGTTGTTATGTGCATGTAGTTTTATTTAATCATCTTATCGCATTTTTTACAAATGTTGCTTAAAGTATTGTTTCCTAATGTGAAGCTAACGTCTAAAAAAATAAGACCGTTGTGAATTTAGTTTTGATAAATATTTTATATATTAGTCAACATCTGGATCATACAAAACTTTTATAAATCGAGTCTCGTTGCACCTTTGGTCCCGTTTAATTAAATCTTTAGATTGATGCTGTAATTCTTGTACTGAAAATTTTTGATGAAATTTTGGTGAATAAAGAAGTTTTTTTTAGGAAATACAAAGACATTTACTAACAAAACTTCTTCATTCGGACATGATGTTGATATTTTAGATCGCTCTGACACGATTTTTGTCAATTATTTAGTATTCTACAATTTTTAAATTAAGAAAGTGACTTATCACTTGTACTATAAAATAATTAAGAAATTATTTTAGATAATTTCTTTAACCCGAATCCAAATTAAATTTAGATCAAATAACGGTAAATCGTATATTGACAGTAGATGTTCATACGACGAAAATATAGGTACAGTTCCTGATGTATAGACAAAATTAGCATCATGAAGCACAAAAGAAGCTTTATTGCTATATTTTCTAGTCCCATTTATATAAAACCAAATTATTAAAGATTAACTTACTCTACATTTAACACTTGACATTTCCTTAGGCCTGTTACTTTTCCGTCTATAAATGTTACTTTGACTCCAGGAAGCTGAATTGGCAGCTCATCAATTATGAAGGGATCCAAAGATGGCACACCAATTTGAGGTATACCCTTAGCGAACTCTGGGATCGCATCCTGCGTGGCTTTAATGAGACATGCTGGCTCCGTATTGTTGCATGGATGAATGAAGTCCGCTGTAAAGTAAATGTTTTATGAATTAGGTCGTCTTAATATGAAGTATTGTGTTTCTATAACTAAAAGCGTAGTTAAAAAAGTTATGGTAGTTAAGTTGATAAGCGCTCTTCTTAAGACTTCATATTAAACTTACAGGTAAACTAAGTACGATTCCCACCGGTATCAGTGAAATTGTTAGTTACAATTTTATGTGCTGATTTACTACTACGTGCTTGGCAAGGAAGGATAAGAAAATCTCTAATAAATAAAGAAAATCCAACACAAATTGGGGAAGCGCTGCGGACTATTCCTTGCTCAAAAAAATAAGCGAAAAGAAAGGAGGCTTATATCCGGAGTGGTGCGTATGTAGTTTCTTCTCAGCTAATAATAGTACTGCTGAACATTCTTTTCGGGTACATTTCAGAGAAGATTTGCCTCAATCGTCATGCATGGCAGACTGCTTAAGTTCGATTCTTTTCAGGTACATTGACGCTTCTCCCGTTGCCGGTCAGCGTATTTCATGCCTGGCGTATGCGAGATGGAAACGTGTACTAGGAGGCCTATAGGTGACCTCTATTTGGTTAAAGCTCAACCAACCAGTCGAGCACAAGCGCAAAGTAGCCAGATTTTTGGTGTTCAGAGTGTGCACAAGGATTGCATAAATTAATGTATCCCTCTTCATTCTACTATCGGACGACCAGACACTTCCACGCACCAATTTCGACCCTTTTGTTGTCAAAAATACCACGCATTCAAATCAAACGATTTGCTTTGTAGATTTTAATACACACAGCAAAGCAAAATAATTTGCCTTCAAGGCATCAGGGAAAAGATTTTTTTTAAGCTGTCATTTAACGTGTAGTGGCGGTGTAAGAATATCGACAACCGCATATTATCATCCCGTGGGCGTCGTAAGAGACGACAGAGGGAAACAAATCAATAGATCGGCAGCAACGTCTTTCTTATTAATAATTACCAAAAATAAAAAGCTGCAGTTGCCAACCCGCTAACCAAGCGCGGCAATTATGGCAAACATCCCTTCTGTGAGGCAATCTATGTGGGAGGTCTATGTTCAGCAGTGGACTTTAATAGTTGCGCTATAACATCTTTGGCTGCATCAACACACAACAGATGGTATAGCAGTAAACACTGGGTTATAATGACCTAAAAGATGGTTATACTATCATCTATTGGTCGCCGGCTATACCCACGGAACGAAATAGGGTGGTTCTCCAGTTCACAGGACATGTAGACGGTAACTTTAATAAATTTTATTACTTTATGACATATTTCACTTAAGTCCGTAGGAGTAACAACGCATTTATAGACTGCATTGTTTAAAGTTATTTACAGGTGTTCATGGGCTGCAGGCTGCACGAGCAACCGATCTACTTGATAGTAAGTGGTTGGTTAACTTAATATCAAGTAGGTTGTTAGTGCGGTTGTAATTTTGTAATAAAAATCCTTGGACTAAACAATAAAAGACGTGTCGTTTCATTTTTTATAGCAGTAAAGAATGGTTTACAGTAATTTACTACAATGATTGTGTTGTGATTGTAAAATGAAATTATAGACAATGCCAGTTGACTCATTCGACATATGTGCCTATTAACTCTACACATTTTAAGCAACAATGCGCGGATATTTCGTTATTGTAACTCATACACATGCGGGATCATTTATTTTTAGCTAGTATTTGAACTTGTATAATTAACTGCTTAATAATAGAGTTTATTAGGCTTAGTAGCTTTGTTTATTTTATTATTTACAAGGCTAAATCAGATCTTAGAGACTACTTAGTATTAGTACTTATTTCATCTATAAATAATGGTGCAAAGGGCATATAAGAATAAGAATTTTCACTTGTTATATAAACATCATCTTAGACTAGGTAGACCCTGCTGACTATTGGACCATGCAAAAAGTGGCGAAAATCCTTATCAATCCAGTGTTAAACAACAATCCTGGCTTGCGATGGGAATCAGCAATATAAGTGCTAGACTCTGGCAATACTCTAGCACTTATATATTGCACTTACTAATCTATCTGCCCAGTATTTTCAGTATGGACAACTCTTCAAGGAATGCATATAAATTGGTGCATTCTTAGCATATTTCCATCTTGCGGATAACCGTCGCTTTTTTGTGCCTGAACTTCAGGTTTTATGAACGATATGTTCATTTGTGTATTCATTGACAGGTACTTGTCGAAATCTAAAGATATCAATGCTGGATTCGCCAGTTTTCTCAGTTTTTCTGCATTTTTTCTGATGCCCATTAACGATATGTAAATGCCTGTTGTTTTCGAGCAGACTAATGACAGCATAGTTGTGGAGAAATACAGATCTAGTGTATACGATACAGGTATTAACAAGTGTCTTATTACCGCCAAACAGAATGTAACCTTGGAAATATTTGAACGCTTTCAAGATCGGCTGACTTCATGGAGAAAGAGGGACTCTTTATGATGAACTCTTTCTTCCAGAAGCGACCCCACAGGAAGTGGACCTGGTCGAGCCCCGACGGTTCGACAAAAAATGAGATTGACTTCATTATGACGACCAGACGACAACTGTTCAGTGATGTCTCAGTGATCGCGAGGGTGAAAACCGGCAGCGATCACCGAATGGTTAGAGGCACACTGAACCTAAACGTTAAGTTGGAGAGGTCTCGTCTAATGAAGTCAACGCTCCGTCCCCCTCGTGCTCTAATCCAAAGTCCCGAAACCTTTCAGCTCGAGTTACAAAACCGTTTTCAGTGCCTAGAAGACTGCAATGAAGTGGACGATTTGAATGACAAGCTCGTGGAAACTGTCCATGCGGTCGGAGCTAAGTTCTGCAAGACCCGCCGCAGAAGAACACAAAAACTCTCCGATCACACTCTTAATGTCATGGCTGTTAGACGGGAGATGAAGCTACATTCTTCAACAGATTTGACAGCATACAGGCAACTGTACAGACAGATCTCCAAATGCATGCGGCGGGACTTACGCAACTTCAATACAGCTCGTATTGAAGAAGCGATCGAGCGGAACCAAAGCTCCAAAGTCTTTGCCAGAGATCTGTCTGTCAGAAAGCGCCAACTGTCAAAGCTGAAGACAGAATGTGGCAGCATCGTTTCCGGGGCACCTGAGATTTTGAGTGAGATTGAGAGGTTCTATGGGCAGCTGTACACATCATCGTTGGAGCCGCACGCAAGTGTGAGTAACGATCCAAGAGCGAGTCTTATCCGACATTATTCCGATGATATCCCGGACGTCAGTCTGAGCGAGATTAGAATGGCTCTCCAGCACCTTAAAAACGGCAAGGCCCCAGGCGAGGATGGAATTACAGCGGAGCTTCTGAAAGCGGGTGGAAAACCGTTACTTGAAGTCCTTCAGAAGCTCTTTAATTCCGTCCTCCATGGTGGCATTACACCGGAGGCGTGGAGCAGAAGTGCGGTGGTCTTGTTCTTCAAGAAAGGCGACAACGCTCTCTTGAAGAACTACAGACCGATTTCCCTTCTGAGCCGCGTCTACGTGCTGTTTTTGAGAGTCATTACGAATCGTCTCGCGCGCAGACTTGACGACTTCCAGCCTCCCGAACAAGCCGGTTTCCGAAAAGGCTTTAGCACCATAGACCACATACATACCCTTCGGCAAATTGTACAGAAGTCCGAGGAGTACAATTTGCCACTATGTCTGGCGTATGTGGACTATGAGAAAGCCTTTGATTCCATCGAAATTTGGGCGGTGCTGCAGTCCCTTCAGCGATGCCAAGTTGACTGTCGGTATATCGAAGTGTTGAAGTGCTTGTACAGTAGGGCTACGATGGCTATCCGAGTACAGAACCAGAGTACGAAACCTATCCAATTGCAGAGAGGTGTAAGACAGGGTGACGTCATATACCCGAAACTCTTTACCGCTGCATTGGCAGATGTTTTCAAGCTTCTGGACTGGAAAGGATACGGTATCAACATCAATGGCTAGTACATCACTCACCTTCGATTTGCCGACGATATAGTCCTTATGGCAGAATCGCTGGAGGACCTAAGCACTATGCTCAATGACCTTAATAGTGTTTCCCAACGGATAGGTCTTAAGATGAACATGGACAAAACAAAGATCATGTTTAATGTCCATGTCACACCTATGCCGGTAGTTGTTGGGAACACTAAGCTCGAAGTTGTTGACGAGTATGTTTACCTGGGACAAATAGTCCGACTAGGTAAGTCCAACTTCGACCGAGAGGTCAATCGACGGATTCAACTCGGTTGGGCAGCGTTCGGGAAATTACGGCACATCTTCTCGTCAGGTATACCTCAAAACTTGAAAACGAGACTGTACACCCAGTGCGTGTTGCCAGTGATGACATACGGAACTGAGACGTGGTCCTTCACTGCTGGCCGTATGAGGAAGCTCAAGGTCGCTCAGCGAGCTATGGAGAGGGCTATGCTCGGCGTTTCTCTGCGTGATAAACTCAGAAATGGGGATATCCGCAGTAGAACTAGAGTGACCGACATAGCCCAACGGATTAGTAAGCTGAAGTGGCAATGGGCCGGCCATTGCCACTTCCAAGAAAGGAATGATGTTGATGATGATGATTTCAAGATCGGGCAGTCCGAATTTCATCTGACCACAACTTTGGTCGGTTTATTAAGTCCAAGATAATGCTATCAATAAGAAAAGTGTGTTCTTACTAAAGTGCTTTTGAGTCTTTATCAAGCTAGAGTCAGTTTATGTTTGGAGTAATATTGCCACATTTATTTTGGTGCTGCTCAGTGTAAGTGAATGTGTATCAGTATGAGACGTTTGATGAAACTGCGGTAATTAACCTCTTTAATACTTTGAAGATAAACTAGCTTTGAACACAAATGCATAGTTGCCAGCGGGCCGGTGTTTTACATGTTGAAAGCAAACTTTGTAACAAAAAATATGGCAACACTTTTTTATAAAATTGAAGTGACAAACGAACTTAGTATCCACCTGGTGGTAAGTGGCTACTACAGATCATATGTGCAACTGCAAACGACTTTAAACAAAT